ATAAATTAACAGATCCTGACTGATTGCCTCCCATGACTGTGTTCACCAGTTTTGGAATTCAAAAGGCAAAATAGAATCTGCCTTTTGTAGAAGGTGCCAGGAATGGCATCAGGACACACTGTCTGGAGGGTGGCTGAGCCTTTTCAATCCTCCCCACACTGACTGGACTTGGCACCACTGTGTGATATATCACCACTGTAACAAAGCACTTCATGCAAGCTGGTCATATCCTATGGAAAAAGTCTTGGAAGGACGTTGCAGAAAAAAAAATTAACCTCTGTTTGCAGTTTTTCTGGAGATATAAAGTATTGTGAAATTTGAGGACATTTTCACAGCTTGGCTTGTGAAATTCATTTCCAGCTCGACAGATTGTGATTTCACGATTTTGCACATCTGGATTTTGGCACAGGGCTGTGGGGGGTGTCTCTGGCAGTCTGCCTCCCAGGACAGTGTGTTTGCTCCTGGGCAGTGAAGAGTCCAGTCCTGGCTGAGCTGTCCCCTGCCTGCCCTGCCCTGGGCACTGTGTGTTCCACAAGGGAAAGGCTGCACAGCTGGAGCTGGCCCTGACATCAGTGAGCTCAGGAATCACTTGAATAAAAATGGTAATGATAAAGTCATGTTTTGTCACGTTTTTAAAATTCAAGAAGTGTAAGAGATAGGCAAAAAAAGTTGTAGGGGTGTCTGTACTGTGTGTTCTGGGGAGCAAACAACATTTTCACTCGCTGAAAACACTGTGTGCACAGACTACTGAGCAATCTCTCCGCCACACTGCACCAGTGGGCTGCTTTTCAGGCCAGACATTTTGGGAGGGGGTCTTCTCCTTCTGGCAATCTTCCCAGAGGGAAACCAGTTGATGAAACAGGACTTTAAGCCAGAATTTTTTCAGCATTCACACCACAGAAGGAGAGTTTACAAAGGTGGCAAGAGCCATGTGCATTTTCCCTTTGTGCATTGCTGTGGGACAGCAAAGTCATCCTATTTTCCCACCAGGAGCACACAGAATCACAGAACCTCCCTTATTCTTATGGCATTGGAAGTGTGGTTTCAAAAGAAAAATCCCTGTGCTGTCTGGAATGCTCAACTGTTGGGTACCAGAGTCGGAAAACATCCTGCCTGCCACGAACGTTAGGAAAACAGAGCAGCCCTGACTCCAGTGCCAAGTGGTTTTTTGGAAGGCTGACTCCCCTGAGAATAAAGGATATTGGTGTCCAGCCAAGTGGGCAGGCAGGAACAGGCCCTGGGCAAGACACTGGAATTTTGGTGGAGTCTGAAATATTGTCTGCTTGTTTGTATCAGCTTCTGACTTTGGTATTTAAAAGGTGAGCTGCCCAAAACGTGAGGAAAAGGACCGCAAGTTGATAAAATTGGAATTCTTTTTCTGGCTATATTTAGAGGAACTTAAAACAGGGATTTCCCTTTTTGGCCACTCCAGTATCCAAGAGTAACCTAATATTTCTGTTAAAACCAGAAAAAAATCCCCAAAGGAAATTTCCTTTTTTTCCTATTGTACACTCAAAAATCCCTTCTTGTTGCAGGGAATTCATTTGGTTTTTACTTCTCCATTTCCCTGTTTAGATGAATAGTCCTGGTCTAATGGCCCAGTGAGCACTTCATCCAGAGTATTCCCCAGCTTATACCTCCTATTACACTTGAAGAAGTGCTATACTTCATCAAATGAGATTAAAACCCACCCTCAGGTGCTTGTATGAACTGCCAAAGCACACATACAAGCAAGAACTTTATCAAATATTTTTTCCTTTCTATTTCTATGCTAATAAACATCTAAATGTAATTTTGGGGTGTTCAGAGGTCCATTGCTGCTTGACATTCACCAGAAGTCGGGATGTTGGGTCAAAACTTGCACCCACAAGTGAGCTTGAGCTCAAGAGATGTTTTTGTGTTGATCTCAACAGAGCAGGGCTGGGTCTTTATTTCCTCAACAAGACTGGAAAATGTTCATTCTGCCTCTTTCCCCTGCACACACATATTTTCTTTTCTTTACAGAAGGAGTCATTTGTCTTTATCTCACCATTCACCTCTCTCTCTGATTGCAGTTAATGGAATTGTCACCTTTATGGACTCATGCTCCATTTCTCAACCTGTCTGGACTTTGGCCTCCAAAGGTTACCACAGCTAGTGAAGTAATATGATTGAGTCTTTTCCGACAGATTTATGCAAGATTTCTTTTCCAGCAAGTGTCACATCGAGTCTAGTTCTGCAAAAGAGAATATTTCAAAGATGCCAACTGTCATCTAAACCCACTAAATTGTTCTGTGGGGTTGAGAGGACTGAGGGCCATCTCGGGCAATGCTGATTTACACTACCTGGAGCTGTTTCCCCGCTGCTTGAAATACGGGCTCTGGTTAATCACAAAAAAAAAGAACATCCCTGTCTCCCAGAAAGCACATTTAAAATGGAATTTTCATTAGTTACTCTGTAATGAAAAGGCAAAAGGGTGTATTTTAAGTGAATCTGTCCAGAATCTTGGAAGAAGGGGGGGTGTTATTTGGTGGAAAACTACAGCAGCCACACACTAAACAGGAAAAATTGGTCTTGAGTTCATTTAAGACACATACATCCATAGAATATTTTCAAGTTTATAGAAAGATTTTGTAATTATAGAGGATTCACTGCACATGTATCTGCTCCTCCTGCATTTGATACAAAGCACAAATTAATCATCATTATTCTGCACTAATATAACACCTCTTAACCTTCAGCTTTCAGAATATTTCAAAGGAGCAATGAATTAAGCCTCATGTGGGTTTGGGAATATGTGATAATCTAAACTTGGATTCTTTAATAAAAAGAATTTTCAGGACTTTGATTTTGGAAGTTGGAAACTTATAATTGTTCTTGAAAATATCTTCCTTTGTCACTCACTTGGAAAGAAACCATGTGAGTACCAGAGAAGTGAGATGAAATGGAAAAATGTATTAAGCAAAAGTTAATAAATTTGTCTGTACTTATTTTTGTTATTTATTGAAGCAAAAAGACCTGGATAAATTGAGGTGCTAATGTGATATAAGTGTAAAAAAGGCAAATTTGATGCCTGTCTGTAACTAAAAGAGTGCAGAGGGAATTATTATTGCCACTGTACAAGTCTCTTGCAAGCCATCATTTAAACATTACACAGTATGTCAGACTCTGATCACTCACACTCAGAAAAGATGAATTCTGACTGACAGAAGTGAAGGAAAAACTATTAGATAATCCACAACTTGCTGTTATGAGAGAAAATAAATGATTAATATTTAAGTTGGCAAAACAAATAAGGGACTTCAGTGGTGTCTACAAATACATTGTGGGAGGAGAACAAGTATTATACTAAAAGCAACTGTCAGTGTATGACTATGCAGAGGGCAGAAATAAATTTGTTTTTAATGAACAGAGGAATGGGATTCTGGAACAGAATCAGGTCCATTTCTCTGGGCTTCATTTTATTGCTTTTCAGTTGAACAGAACATTTGGGTATCTCCCCAGTCACGGTGCCTTGTTTTAGGCCACTGAGCTAATGTGAAACAGCTCGTTTGTGTCTCTGAACTTTACACTTTCCCTGCATGGAGTGCTTCCCTGGCCAGAGTGGTGGCCCTGCTCTGGGATTTGTCCCCGTGGGCCGGGTCTGACTCAGTTTGGGATGTGCACATCTCAGAAAACAGAAATTTACATCTCACTACACCGCAGACCTCCTGGGGAGCAAAGCAGAGCATGAGGGCACACATTCACACCATGCTGTAAAACGACTTGGAATTACAGTCAGGAGGGGGTATTTTATTTTTTAACCCATCTATTCAAAGCAAAACATTTGGACTAATGAAGAAACCCCCACACACTTCAGTTTGGGTCAAATGTACTTTCTAAGCCAGCCCAGACACAAGGTATTCCCAATGGAAAAATCAATTTTCACCCAGATTTCAGTTTGGTATAAGCAGTGTTTTCCATCAGAAAACCATCCCAACGGAAAATTCCTAACCGGTTCTAGTACAAAGTGACTAGCAAAGCTCTCAAAATGATTCAGTGGCAAGGCTGGAATGAGAACCCACAGCTCCTGACCACGAACCCTGTGCTCTAACCACGAGACAAACACTCATCTTTCCCTGAGCAAGGTTGTTCCTGCAGCATTTCTGCTCCGGCCAAAGTGGGAATACTCTGGAAATGTTGCAAGAGAACTTTTTTTTGCTGCAAGATTTCCTGTTGTAGAATATTTGGGGGGTAACGGGAAAAATCCCTGGTGGCTCCCTGGGGCCAGAAGTGTTTGGACATGATGGGAATGTGAGCGCTGCCATCTGCTCCTCCCTGCGTGGGCTGGGGAGGGTCAGGCAGGGGTGTGGTGGGATCTGTCCCAAACCATGGAGCGCTCAGCCACGGCTGGCCCATGGGCTGGACTCGATGATCCAAGAGGTCTTTTCCAGCCTCATTGATTCTGTGATTTCTCTGTTTTCCAGGGATGCATTTGAGGGCATCCTCTATCTGTTTTAAGCAAATCTTAACTAAACCCAGGGTTTTCTTCCTCACATCAGCAACTCTCCAGCTTTTCAGGTAAAAACTCTGTCCCCATGCAGAGAACCAAACTCATGGCTTGCAGTCTATTTATTTCAGAAGCATTTACATTACATTTAAGGAAGCTCAGGGTGAGAGATGTCCTGAGCCCTGACTTTCCCTCTTGTTTATTTATTCTTCTATATGTTTCTACATAGTTATTTGCTTGTATGTTTTTATATATTTATTCTTCTATACTGTATACGTTCTTCTCAGTGATCTCCACGTGGCTTCTTGCACCGCTTCTACGACCCCCGATATTTCCCACGGGGGTACGCGGCAGCGGTGCTGGAAAATCACATTTATCACCCGTTTACAATCCGCGCCAAGCCCCCGCCTTGTTCCCGGGGCAGACCCGGGCGCAGGGCGATTCCCGGCCCGAGCCGCCGCTGCCCTCAGCGCCCGGCGGCGCCGCCGCTTCCCCCGCCCGCCCCTTCCCGGCGCAGGCGCGGCCGGCCCGGCCCGGGGCAGCCCGGCGGCTTTCCCGGCAGCGGCGGGTTCAGGGGACGTCCCCGCCGGGGTGTGCAGGCCCGGGCAGTGCCGGGGGCACAAGTAAGTGATGGCTGCAGAGTAAGTGTCGGCGCTGGCCGGGCCGCGGCGGCCTCCGGCCCTCAGCGCGGCCGCCCGTGAGAGGAGCGCCGCGCGCGCCGCCTCAGCGCGGCTCCCGCCCTCTCCTTGCCCCCGTCCCTGCCCCTTCTCCGCCGTGACGCCCGGAGGGTTCCGTCCTCCTCCGGTAGGGCTCGGATCCTGCTGCTCTGAAGGGAGCTCTGGCGTTCGTGTTGTTGTTTAATCACCAGCGCCGCCTCCTTCCCCTGGGAGCCCCTGGCCGCAGCCGCGGGCCCCGTGCGGCGCGCCCCGGCCATGCGTGGGCTGAGCGCTCACATCGCCCCGGATCAGCTCAGAGCTTGCTCTTCGTGTAGCCCGGGGGATTTACGGCCTGCTGGCTGTCCGAGTTGTCTCCTCCTGACGTTTCTGTAGAGCACGGCCATATGTGACTCTCACTGTAATTCAGAGGGAGCGGGGCTGCCCCTCACAGCCCCCGCTGGGGTGCCCAGTGCCAGGGGAGGCGTTTGGTGTTGCCCAGGGTGGACACAGGGATCCTCCCAGTGCCTCCTGTGCTGTTGGATCTCCTTTATCCCAGCCACCTTCCCATGTGCTTCAAATGGGATGCACAGCTTTCTGGTGAGGGAAAAAGGAGAGGCGCACGCTGATTTCTTCATGATGCCGAGTGACAGGACGTGAAGGAATGGCCTGAACCTGTGTCAGGGGAGGTTGAGGTTGGGTAGTAGAAAAATATATTCCCCCGAAGGGTGGTCAGATTCTGGAACAGGCTGCCCTGGAAGGGTAACAGAACCTAATCATCCAGAGCTCAAGGGGACATTTGGACAATGCTCTTGGGCCCATGGTGTGATTCTTGGGGTTCTGTACAGGTCCAGGACTTGGACTCAATTATCCTTGAGTGTCCTTTCCCAGCTTAGCTTTTTCTGTGGTTCTGTGAAAGTGCAGCGCTCAGGTGACCTGACCTAGGCAGGTGGGACATGCACATCACTAACACACTTGCCTAATCCTCCATATCCCTAGGAGATTTCCATAAATGTAGTCTCCAGTCTCGTCTCTCTGGCCCTTGTGTCCTGCTGCCTCTGCTGCCTCCCTCGTCCTCGTGCAGCTCCCCTTTCTGGCACCTCCACAGCCTGGTCTCCTTGTCATGCCCTGTGATCCCAGGCAGCTCCTGGGCTGGCACAGAGCACCCCCAGGAACCTGCTGGAATTTACTCGTGCTTGGCTCCGGAGCTGCCAGCGCGGCCGTGTGCCTCACTGCTGCCAGGCTCTGCCCCGGTGAGGAACTGGTAACTTGGCAGATTCCTTCCCTGCTGAGGTGCCTGGGATTTGTTAGGAAGTTTCATAAACTTAGCACCAGTCCGCTTCTCTGGACAGCACTTACGAAACAAATTCCAGGGAAGTAGAGGAAAGGGCTCGGTCATCTCGGAGGTTTTTAAGAAGTAATAAGCAGACACATTGTTGGGAAGGTGGTCTTGTATTCCATTCCCTTGTATTTCACTCTCATGCATTTCATTCTTGTGCATTTCACTCTGGTGTATTTCACTCTGGTGTATTTCACTCTCGTATATTTCACTCTCGTATATTTCACTCTCGTGTATTTCATCCCCTTGTATTTCACTCTTATGGATTTCATTCTCATGCATTTCATTCTTGTGTATTTCACTCTCGTGTATTTCACTCTCGTATATTTCACTCTCGTATATTTCACTCTCGTGTATTTCATCCCCTTGTATTTCACTCTCATGGATTTCATTCTCATGCATTTCATTCTTGTGTATTTCACTCTGGTCTATTTCACTCTCGTGTATTTCACTCTCGTGTATTTCATTCTTGTCTATTTCTCATGCATTTCATTCTATTTTCTTATCCTGGAAGACCATTTCCTTAAGTAGTTGGGATTAATTTTTTTAAAGTATACTAAGATATAATACAAAACCATGAAATTTTAAAGGCTCTGTAATGTTATTGGTCCCTTTCCTTCAGGAATGTGTATGAGCATATGGAAAAAAAAAAAAAAAAGAGACTCTTCTTTTTCCTGGGAAGAGTGTCTGGGGTAGGAGGTTGAATGCAGAGAGAATTGGTTGCTTGTAGGGACAGCTGTTCCCAGCTATAAGAATCATGGCAGAAATAAATTTATAGTGTCAGTAGAGACTAAATAAACTAGTTCTATGCTAGGAAGTTTTTATGTGTATTCTTAGCCACTTCTGTTACTCCATTCTGTGTTTCTCAGTTAAATTATCATTTTAAAACGTTGGTTCTTTTGAATAAATAAACTGGTTTTGTGCAGAATTAGTGTTTCTTTTAACCTAAGCTAATCTGCAACCCCACTTCCCCTTAAGTAGTTCTGACAGGAACTTTGGGGAGAGTGTTTTTGAAATTGCAGCCCAAATAAATGTTTAATTTTAAACTGACAGATTACTTGGGGCTGTCATTCTTCTCAGGCTTTTACTATGCAAGAGTGAACAAATCTTGTAAAATAAACCGTGGATTGGGCTTATGGACACATGTTTGCTTCTGGGCTGAGCATCTTGAAGTGGTTTGCAGCATGTCTTTAAAAATTTATTTCACTGTTGCATCTACTGCTGGCCTAAGTGCTCCAGTATCTGCCAGGAGTAATTATAGGCAGTTGGTTCAGATGTTGCTTAAATGTGTAAGCCTTGATGGGAAATGCAGTGGATTTCAGCCAGAATGCTAATTTTGATGTTTTATCATTTCATAAAACTGTGAACTCAGAACAAATTATTTTTATACTGATCTGCTGATACGTAATCACAGGGTTAGTGCCAGATTCAAGCGTGATGTAGCACCGGAATCTAAAGATGGGATTAAAGTTAGAGTATCAGCACTAGCCTAGCTTGGCTAATTTGTATCCACAGTGGCATAATGGCTGTATTTTCCCACTTAACCTGCACAGAACTCCTGGTGCCAAGGCTGGTTTGCTGCAGGAATGCAGTTTAAAGCTGTTGTGTGAATTGTAATTGTGCCTTTTGTATTGCATTCTCCTCCAAATTACGTTTTATGACTTAAACAGATATTTTGCAAATTCACATTATTGTGCTAGGCTGTGTTTATAGCATACTGCTTTTTTGTGGCGTGTGCTTTGTTGGTTTTTTATTTGTTTCTCCATTTTCCTTATAGCATAGAGTGAAAAAAATAAAAAAAATCACAGTACATGAATCAATTTTACAGGCAAAGAGCAGAGATTATTCTCTCTGTCCATCATGAGTAGGTTAAAGTGATAGAGACACAGGGATATGAAAGATCTTCCTTAGCATTAGATTGATAAGCTGTGGATCCAAACACTTGGGTCCATCAGTCATTTTGGAGCCTGTTACCTCTTTTCAACTAGTCATGAAGCTGCTACAGCCAGAATTTATGTAATAATTAGATGGCATTTTTTCCCCCCTCAGTCAATGTAAACAAGATAGTGTCTTCTTTCAGGGCTCCAGGCATTCTGCAGAGTCATTTGGGACACGTCTGTCTGCCAGGTCATTAGCACAGCCTGTGGGGATGTGTGCAGCTGCAGCGTCAGAGCAGGAATGGATCTCAGCAGTGTGGTGTGCATGGCTTGGATCCACTGCTGTTGCCAGGCTGGGGAAAAGGAAGGGTGCTGCTAGACACCCCCCTTATTCCTTAGGTTTTCCTGCCTGGCAGTTGTGTCCTGGCATTTACTGATCAACGTTTCCTCTGCTGGACAAACTGGAGGTTATGGCAAGTGTTCAAAATCCTGCCATGGTGTGAGTGCACCTGTGATGTTCATGAGTGTCAGGGATTTATCCTGAACTCCTGATAGTGGCTGGGGGGTTGCCACTGATGGATGCAGGATCAGAGCCTGCTTTTGAAGTGATGGCCCAGTCCCAGCAGGGCCCAGAGTGCTTCAGAGGGAATTGGAGCTGTTGGTTTTCCCCAAAGGCTGTATCTTCTCACCTCATGTTTTGTGTTCTCACAGCCATCTTCTCAGCCTTCCTTTTTCCTGAGAGCTCCTCTCTGCAGGTGCTTCCTGCTGTTCCCGGGGTTAGGTGGGCCCTGGAGCAGGGGCAGCTGCACTTGTTTCCTTTGTGTGCCACAGTTACAGCCAGGGAGCAGCAGGACAGCCGGGTGTGCTTGGCGAGGGCCTCGAGCTGCTGCTGCCGTGCAGAGCCTGTCAGGGCATGCAGCAACCTCAGCAGGGCCAGGGCAAACCAGGGGGAGCAGCCCCGAGTCTTCCCCAAGCGTGTAGCTGGAAGAGCTCCTGGATCCCTCTGCTCTGAGCTCTGTGTTTTGGGACCTGCCTGAAGCTGGACATCCCTGGCCAGTTCTGTGCTCCTCAGCAGCACCTCTGAGCTGACACCAACACGTTGTTTTCCTGCTGCAGCATCTCTGAGCAGTATCTCCACCTGCCCACAGTGGCCTTGGCATTATTTCTTGCTGTTTATTAGTACTGACTACTGCAGTGTGTTATGGTGCTTGTGTTACTGCCACCTCCATGAGCACTCAGAGCAGGGAAATGCTTTTGGTCTTAATGTAGAGATTGTGAGTTCAGCTCAATAGCCATGATGTGTGGATAGCTGCAGTGAGGCCTTTGGGGGTGATTCAGAATGCAATGGAATCATGGCTGCGTGGAGAAAGTAAATACACAGCAATTGCTTAATGTCTCCTCTAGCTCAGGAACTCAGACACATCAAACAAAACTAGCAGGTGGCATGCTCAGAACAAACCAAAGGGCTTTTTCCTGCATTGTTTACACAGAACTTTATAACTCATTACCGCAGTAGTTTGCAGTTAGAAAAGTTTCCCTGGATTCAGAAAGAGCACAAACAAATTTAGAGAGGAAAAAGCTTTCAAGGTCTGCTAATCCTAAAGATAAAATTTCTGGCTCAGGAAGTGCCTTTACTATAGATAGCAGGAGGAAAGGTGTCCTGGGGAAGGACTGCTGGATGAAAAGGGCAGGCATATGCTTTTCTTACGGCTTCTGCTGTTTGTGGAGGATCCTGGGCTAATTGGACCTTTCATCTGACCCAGCACAGCCATGCTCTGCTCTTTAATCAGGGGCCAGAATGCCATTGCTCCTATTTGATCATCACTACCACAGACTGTGTCTGCCTGTGTGAGCTGAAGACAGGAACTGGAAGGAGAGCAAATAATTCTTTCTGTACAAACTCTTCTCAAGCAGAATACAGAGAAAACCAGCCCTGCTGTTGGTATTTACTGACACTGGTCATGCTGCCATCCTTCTGCTGTTCCTGAGTGGGATAACTATGTAGGCAGTAGAAGCTGAAAATAAATAATTTTTGGATCTAATTTCTTAGAATAATTTAGTATTTTTCATTTCTCCCCTTCCTGGTTACATTAGGATAAACCCGAAGGTGTCTTGCTATAAATCAGAGCAGGTGGAAGTAGTTTGGCCTGAAAGTATTTAAAATCCAAAAGATAGAATTAGAGGGCAAAGGGCAGCAATGAAGTAATGACTTTGTCTTGGACACTGAAAGCAAGGGGAAAAAAAAAGATCTGGAGAGACATTGCATTAAAGCAAATTAGTACATAGTGAATTATTTATAGAGAGAAAAGGAGATAGTAGAAAATAGTAGAATATCAGAATAGTAGAAAATCAGTCCTGCCTATGCTGGGTTTTATTGACATTGCGTTACAGTGTTAGGGGGACAGTTAGGAAGGTTTTGATGGAACAATCTAAATATTATAGGACTGGAATCAGCGTTTTATCCTACTACTGAAATCTTTCATTATTTTAAGCTGGTTTTCCTTATAATATGTAAGAAAACTTCACAGAATGTACCAGAGAACTGATGAAAGAATCTAGAGGTGTTTGGTTTTCAATGAAGAAGCATATTTTCCTCAGCTCCATTTTTATTCATTCCAGTTTTGTTACTGTTAGCACAGTCCTCACATTTCTAAGACAGATCCTGCATGTATATTTCTGTTTGGGGAAGGGAAAAGGGGAGGTGAGGTGTGCTTTTGTTCCTTGTGTTTGTTTTGTTTGCTGTGGGGTAGCTGACAAATAAATGCTTGTTGATAGTTATAGCACACTCCCTTGGGCATTTAAGGATATTTGCTATATTAGTGCTGCCCTTCACCACAGTGTTAGAATTCCCCATCTGCTCCTGCTCTCCCACACAGACATGTGCCTTCTTTCTCTTTCCACATCCAAACAGGAATTACAGAAGCTGGAAGAGCAAAGGGAGTTCACTGTCTTCAAGGAGATCCTGCCACTCTACCACCACCACTTGTACTGGTTACTTACCTCTAGAAAGCCAACAAAGTGCTGAATTTCCAGTATAATGTCAAAAAGGCTTGTTTTGGTTAATGTGCTTTCTACAATTGAAAAGCAGCTTTTCTTTAGCATATTTAGATCTTTTCACACGAAGCTTATGAAGGCTAATTTGAGCCTGTTAATCTTTTTCTTGGTAACCCATAGAAAAGCACAGCTGCACTACTAAAAACACTCTGTTTATCCACAATCACCGGGTCTGGGCAGCCCGCAGCGTTCCAAAGATCAAAGTTTAAAAGAGACATGCCAGCCCTTCCTAATTCTTTGTGTTTAAGCACACAGCACCACGAAGTCTAAATTGCTGCTGCTGAAAGCTTGTGCAGAGCTTGGGCCTCTGTTGATGTGAGTGCAGCCCCTCCTGCACCCTGGCTTTAACAGAAAGGAACATCCTGGCAGCTCAATAACTGAGGTAAAGTGGGACAGACAAGTCTAACAGTGCTCATGAAAAACTCATCTGGTTACTTACTCATTCCTTTTCAATTAAAGTAAATAATGTTAAGGATTTTCTTTTTTTTTTTATTTAATATTTTTGCAACTGAGTTTCACCCCTCCTTTTTCTTTCTTCTTTGCTTATGTGAGAAAACTAACACATTTGTACAAGGATAAACTGGGAAGTCTGTGGTTTCCAGCATGCACATTTTGAATAATATTTATACAGACTATTATTTAATGGGCCATATAAATATTTATAATATGCTGTAGCCTTTTGATCATAAATGCTTGTTTGAAAAGCCATTCTGTCCCTGCTGTGATTTGCAGAGAAAGAGGCCATTGCTGGTTTAGTGCTTGGAGGGAATTTTGGCTTCTTGTCCTGACTTAGCAGTTGCAGTCATGGATTAACACGGTCAAGCTGGACATGTCTCTTAAGTTTACTTTTTTCCTCTGCCCCTCTCCTTCTGTTAGCAAATTCAAATAATAAGTTGAAAATATGAGGCTTGAGTTCTGCAGTGGACAGACAAGGCTGTATTGAAGGAGGCTGCCAGGAGCCAGGCTTCCTGAGTTTAGATACTTCAGGGATTTAGAAGGTCCTGTCTCCACTGCCTTCCATCCCTTGGGAGTCCATGAACGTGCATCATCCATGCATAAAATATTTTGGTGTCATGTTAGGAACATTGTGCTTGATTGACTGACCTGTCTGACAGGACTTTCGGGACATTTTATTTCAGTCATTTTTCTGGTCCAGTTTTCCTCATGATTTTATTGCCTGCAGAAGCAAAGAATCCAGCAGATAAAAATTTCCAAACCAACATTTTATTTGCACAACAATTTTCTTTTCACATGGCAATGAATGTTGGTTTCCAAATTCCAAAGCAACAAGCTTGTGCAGGGACCTTCTGTTATCCCTGAAATCCATTAAAGAGTTCCTTCAGCTTTGATTTGGAGTTTCCTTTTGTACCAAAGAAATCTTCTGGAAACAAAACAGAATGACAACATTCCTTTTTAAAATTCTTATCACTGTACTTTGACTAAATATTTTCCACCAACTTCTCGGCTGAGTTCTTAGGTTCTCAAGAAATACCCTTGGGCAGAGTCCATAATTGCTGACATTTATGACCTAGAGATGACAGTGCTTTTTGTGGATGGGGTTGATAAGTAGGTGGCATACCAAGTGTTTGGTATTCCAAAAAAACCCTTGGCATCAAATTATGTTTTTGCAAGCAGATCAGTTGCAGAGACACTTTACTTTGAAAAGCCTCTGTAACTTCTGCTTGCTGTTCTTGAAAAAGGATTCATATTTACTTTTAGCCTTTTTAAAATGAGATATTGAGTGAGTCTTGCTGCTTTGTGAATCTAGGTGAGCTTTATTCAGAAAGAGACCCGTTAGTTTGGGGTTCTTGGTTTTGTACTGTCACTTTTTCCTGTTCCCACTGACTGACAGCAATAAACTGGTGGATGTGCAAAGGCTGATAGGCACTGCTCAAGCACATAAACAAACTCTGCTTCCTGCCCAGTCACTCACACAGGCACATCCTGGTTGCTTAGTAAGGAAAAAAAAGGAAAGTAAACATTACATGGGCAGATTGGGTTCCAGGTTTCAAATGTTTGTGGGAAGAATCCAATGCAAAGCCATAATTTCAAGTGCTGAGTAGGAGGTACTGTGAGCTTAATTCTCTAACATCTGCTAAGCTTGTTCTCTAAGTAGCAAAAACACATTAATGAGCTAAAATCAAGGCTGCCATACAAGGAAGAGAAATTTGGAGTAATATTGTGTGTGTGAGCAGGAGGCAGGATATAAAATACTCCTTTTGCTATTTGTATTTATGAAGAGCAAGTAAGAAGGATTTGCCTATGTTTAAAAAAATAAAGAATCTGTTTTGCAGCTTGTGGTTTATTCTCAACTTTTTATGAGTCAGCAGCTAAAGGCAGAGCCGAAATAGGGGAAAAACAGGGAAATTTGTGAGATAGTATCAGGAACAGTATTATGCAATGCCTTTGTAGTAAAATTTCTCACAAGGAACTTGCAGCACCTGCAGCCAGCATTTGGAGCTCTGGGGAGGTGAAGTACAAAATTAAGAAGTAAATACCTTGTTGAAAAGAATCTCTTAAAACTGCTTTTCCAGCTGAGGGCTGAGAGGGAGAAGCTGAGTGCTGTCACCCCCCAGGTGACAGATGCACTATTAATCACCCCTAGCAGCAGAGTTGTCTTCTCTGGCAGAGGGATTGGCTTTTGTTCCTCTGACCAGGTCACAGAGCCAGGGCCAAGAAAATAAAGCAGGCCTTCTTGCCAATATTCCTAGGTGTTAGACTCATGGCACACCATTATTTTTAGCTGATTGCTCATCGCTTGGACACATGACCTTGCTTAAGGAGATTAGTGTGTGTTGCACCTAATCTGCTGGGCAGAACCAGCATGCTGGGAGGCAGCAGCCAGCATTTCCAGCAGGACCACAATATGCTCTATAGCTTGGAGGTTTTTCTACTTTCTGACATTATTACAAGCTGGTGATCTGTGCAGCTACTCTGGTGACCCTGCAGGGTGTGAGCAGAATGTGGTGACTGCTTTGGTCTGTACCAGGGACAGAACTCCCTCATGCTGGCCAAGCAAAGAACAAAATCATGGGCCCTGGACCCAGCAGTGGGGTCTGGGCATGAAGTGCCAGATTGAAGCAGGGAGGAATGATTGTGTGATGGCAGATCTGCACTGACTGACCACATTTCCCATGAGCTGCTTAAAGGGATGGGAGGAAGGGAAGCTTCAGTTGATTTCTTCAGCCGAGGTGTTATGCCATTTTCAGTGCAAATGAAGCTTTGTTCTAATTAATTATTATCCAGAGTCAGAATTTTCTGAGACTGAGGGCTCCTTGTTTTCTTGTCTAACCCTCAATGATTGTAGATTTGTGATATCTACCAGCAGCAGTGGTTACAAGCCAGCCATGGATGTGAAAGACGCCTACATTATTCCAGTAGATCTTGACCTTTACTCAATGTTATTATTAAAAAAAAGAAAAAAATATTGATTTGGAATGTGAATAATCATATTCTATTAATCAGGACTTTCCAGATCTTTCCCCCTTTGCTTATATTCCTCCCTCTAACCACCTCATCTGCCATATCCAGATATTATCAGGTCACTTCTTTAGGAGGAGTGGGCTGTTTTTAAGTAGAGCCATTTTGATGCTCTGTAAATACCATGTGTTTTAAATGCCAGTTTATCCATTCATTTTCTGAATATCAGAAGCTGTGTGTCAGCTGAGTTTCATGTGTTCCAGAGATGTAAAATGTTCATACAAGCACTAAACAGGGTACTTGTCTGACGTTTTAAATACTTCTATCAGCTCCTACTTAGCATTCTCACAGCTTGATTAAAATGTAAATGTTAACTATTAATTAAGGGACCGTGAGAAATTAAGAACAGTGAATTTGTCACTGTATTAAATGTCAAATAGTTAAAGTTAATATAGTGAAATAAGCAACTCATTGTGAATAATTAAATCAATTAACTTAACCTCACTTTGTTCTTGTAGGATGTCAGAGTAGGCAGAGTTTTCACACCATGCTGTCATGGCTCAACACATTTTCAGAAAATTATTTTCTGAGTCTTAAAAGTGGTGTGAATTGATGGTGGAGAGCTCTTGGAAACTTAACTTTCTTTATTCTTTTTTTCCTCTGGGTAACATGTAAGTGATTGTCGTGTAGTTACTTTATAATTACCTGCATCACACCACAGGTGGGATGTTCGGCTTGATGGGAGGCAGCAGCTCTTGGCACTTTTTCCATCAGTCATTTTATCTGCTTTTAACCCCTTTTTTTCCTTCAACAGGTTTTATCAAAAATGCCCAGTGAGAAGCAGGCTGCAGTGAAGTACTACGTTGGAGTTGACGTGGGCTCAGCCAGCGTTCGCGCGGCGCTGGTGGACGGCGCTGGGACGGTGGTGGCACACGCAGAACAGCCCATCCAGGTTTGGGAGCCCCGGCCAGACTACTATGAGCAATCCTCTGCAGACATCTGGGCTGCCTGCTGCTCTGTCACAAAGGTGGGCAAGGGCAAAATGAAGGATTTGTGTTGCAGGTGACTCTGCAAGTTTTGAATGTTCATGGTCCTGTGGTCCCTGTGCCTGTCACTTCCACTCGGGTCAGTATCTGACTTGCTTCCTAAACACATGTAAGGAAATTCATATTTCGAGCTGACTTGGAGGGCAAAAATTTCAATCTTAGACTGAAATTAAAGTTGAACACTGTCTAGACTCAGAGCTTTCTTAAACTCTGCCCAGGTCTTCAATACTCAATGAAAACAATTTCCAAGTCCTTTCTCTGCAAATTTATCAGAATCTTATTTATAACATACACAGACTTTGAGCTTCATTTGCTGGGATAGAACATCTGAGATAGATGATGGGGGCACACAAATGAAGGTTTAATCTGAGCCAGGGGTGTCAGGGTGGGAGAGGAAGGAATGAGAGGACATGGCTGTCACTCCTCGTGCCCCACGATGGCAGTGCCAGTGTGATGTGCTGGGTCTGGCCACACAGCCACACCTTCACAGAGGTGTGGTTTGGTACCCAAATGGGAAACCCTGAGATGGGGAGGAGCTGGAAACACCATTTGCACCTCCAAAGAGCAGCTCTGGAGTCATAAAGGAGAGTTTATTATAGAGATTGTAATCTGGTTTTGTGGATGGCCCCTAAAGCAACACTTGTTATCCCCATTATAAAAGGATCCATTATTATAAGACCAAAATAAATAATCAATGTCAGTGGATAGTATCGGGCATAAAACCAGATTGAAATGGACTTTACTACAGGGGAAAATTTGTACCCTTTGATCCAGGGCTCTGCCTGTACATGCTGGAGATAAAGGTAAATTAGAGACCTTGCTTGCAGTGCACACAGAGGCCATTTCATCCACCTCACTACAGCCCCTGCCTGCTGCATGTTCTAAGGTTGGCTTTTTAAATATTCATGATAAGCTTGGTAATTTGCAGATGGACTGTTCACCCATTGTCTAGTTATTGATCAGCCTTTTCAAACATTAATGAGCTTGGCTCTGCAGAAATGCCCTGAGATGGAGAAGGGGAGGTGAGTGGATAGAAGGAAAAGAAGGGAGTGACAGCAATGATAGGGAAGAGCAGCTTGACATTAAAGCAGAGCAAGTCTTCCTCTGCTTATTTGATTTTTCTCTGTCTGAGTGGCTTTGTTCTTGCTCTTGACCTCTTTAAATGCAATCTCTTATATTTAAGCAATAAAATGGTCTCAGAAACTGCAGTTTTACAGAGCCAATAAGAGACTGGCACTGTGCAAGTCTACTGAAAGTCTTTCCTTATAGTACTAATTAAAATAATGATATTTTTATTGTTGCTGAGAACTGGCAATTTATTACCATACTACATTTTAGGTGTCTTGCAGCCTCATTTGGCACTTAATCCTTGTGGGTGTTGTGTTTTTTTTTCCAGTGCTGCTGGAAGCCATGAAGTTCAGGCATTTTGGGGCATTGGTTTGGGTTTTTTTTTTTTTTTTGAAAACCTTCCAAAAAGTGTGCTATTCACACTCTTGGTAGCTGAGTAAAGCTGTGCATTGCAGAGGTATTATCATGGCTACAGGTTTTGACCAACTGTAGTTTTGGAACCCTTCAGTACTGCAAGACAAACACAATAATACCAAAGCAATTCTGGAAGATTGTTCCTTCCACAGGCAGGAAGTCAATGAAGTAACTGATGGAAACACTTGGTCCTAATCCTGATCTATGTTTCACACCCAGCTCAGCTCCAAGCTTTAGAAAAGAGAGGAAATTAACATTGCAGCTTTTCTGCTACCTTTATTTACTGATATTTTTGTGCTCCCTGCTTTTGTCCAGGACTGTGGATAAAGACCTCTGAATCTGGATTTGAAACAAAAAGAATTTCTGGTAATTTGGTGTGTTTATGATTGGAAGTTTTAAAGAACACTGAATTTAGGAAATTTCAGTGTTTGTGCTAACTTGTAACTCATTTTGTGCACTCCCTAGTTCACATGGTGCTTGCACATGCATGGATATATTTGTGTTTCTGTGTGTTTTGTGTATTTTCAGGAAGTTGTCCGTGGAGTGGATGCCAGCCAGATCCGAGGGCTTGGGTTTGATGCTACCTGTTCCCTTGTTGTGGTGGATAAACAGTTCCAGCCTTTGGCAGTCAACTCTGAAGGTAGGGCTGCATACAAAACATGATGTTACTGTGTGAGTTTTATCACTGGTGGGAGAGAACTTCCCATGTCCTCCAAATACCAAGTGGTGGGGCTGACTCTTGGAGATGGAGATGGCACAAACTCTTTTATAAGAGGATTTTCCCCCTCATTTTACTGTTTTAATTTTACTGCAAAACTAAATAAGAGATGAGAATTACTTACTGTTTAGTTAAATATTTGGCATCCTAAGATCACATTCATTCATCTTGGCTCTGAGAAATTGCTTCTTAGGGAAATCTACACTAATTTTTCTTTTCGGCATGTTTTCTTCTCCTTCAGACTGTACTGATCATGGCTTTTATGTGTGTATAAATGCCCATCCACACTGGCTAAAGGAATGTTAAAAATGTTAGTGTTAGTGTAGTCTAACTGCTTGCTCTGTCATGGAGCTGCAGGCACAGAGTTCTGTTTGAGTATTTTATTACACTGGTGTTCAGTCTTTGTCTAGGACAGTGCTAAACTTCAGAAACAGTCTGTGACCTTTTTCTAAAAATCTGGGAGGTTTTATTAGGTTTTGGGTAGATGATTCAGAAGACTCCCAGAAAGTGTGTGCTGCACTTCTTTTACCCAGTGAATCTCATTTAAGATTGTGTGCTATATCAGTAGTCACAGAGACATGATCATAATTCTGTGTATGTTCCTTTTCTGTTCTCAGATGTGTTTGACATCTCCTTATATCCTTCTCAAAACCCAGTTTTGCCCCCAAAATGTCCTTTTCTAAATTTAGATCAGATTATTTATTTTTCAGTTTGAGAGTCTCTTACAATCTATTCAATGCCTAATGATGTCTGAGGCTATTTTGGGTCTAATGAGTCAAATTCAGGTCTCATTTTCTGTGCTCTGATATTCCCAAGAACTTTGAGTTTACACAGTCGTGGTGCTAAACAACAAGACAAGAATTCACTCAATACTCTAATGCTGTGAAGAGCCTTGCAGTGGTGGTGTTTCAGGCAGTTTCACAGTTCTGAGCTGTATTTCAATCCATTTTAGAAATATTGATGTGCTTCACACTTCTGCCTTGTTTTGCACTATGTTTTCAAGAGGCTGCTTGAGTGGCTGTGCTGTGGAGTGTGCAGTGTACTTAGCCAGAGAGGAATCTGCATTGTCACCTGGATTACTGTTCCCTCTCTCTGGCAGGTCCTCTGGAGGTTAATTTGGATAAAATGTTCTTTGCTTCTTGTTCTCATTTGTGTGCGCTGCAGACTTGCCAAATGCTTTTTCCTTGCACATCCAAAATAAAAGCATTTCAGCAAATTATCCCCTTTGAAACAGTATTTTGGAAAGGAATTAGGGTGGTTCTTCTCATAACCATAGAAGAGGAGAGAGAATTCCTGTAGCTGATTGAGTTAATTTCAATTCACAACATAATTGTTTGGATTTTGGCACATTTTCAGTTTTTGGTCACCATAACGTTCCTTTATATTTTTAACTAAATATGTGAACTTTGTCAGGAAGTTTGGGTTCTTTGAAATACAAGAGAACATGGTGTTTCACAGTTCTTGGATGCTCACAAGGCTGATTGGTTTCAGTCAGCATTCTCAGTGCTCAACATGTGCTAAAGTTGGGTCAGAGGGCTAAAATTTTATATTTAGATATCCACTGTGAATTATTAACACAAACAGAATTTGAGTTTCCAGTGTAGAAGTGAAAATGTGAAGCAATTTAGAGCCAAGTAACTCACAGTGCTGAGCTGGGGTTAAAAGTGAGCTAAAAGAACTCTTTTCCTGTTTTCCCCAAGGACAGAGCCATAGGAATGTGATCATGTGGATGGACCATCGTGCAGCCAGCCAAGTCAAGCGCATCAATGCCACCCAGCACAGGGTTCTCAGCTACGTAGGGGGAGCCATGTCTGTGGAAATGCAGCCTCCTAAGTTGCTCTGGATAAAGGAAGTGAGTACATTTAACACTCTGGTGCATTTTTACTAGGGGTTAGTGCCCTTGTTCATTCCTGAGAATGAGTTTCTAAAACAAAAGCCTTCAGTCTTAGTGTTGAACGCCAAGGTGTGTGCACAGTAAGGTCAGCTAAAGTTGTGATTTAAACCTTTTAAGGTTCTTTCTTCCTCTCAGTTTTGTAGAAATATGTTTGATTTTATTGAAGTGGAGGGTTCCCTGAGAGAAACATTCCATATGCCTTCCTTATCTAAGATTAGATATATATATACAAATAGAGGTACAGATAATAAATGCAGTATCCTAGGATTTAGTTGTGGAGATGTTTCCTACTCCAGCTGGAGCCTGGAGTGCCAGAGGCGGGCCTTTGAGGCATCCAGTAGTGCAGGGTATGATGGTAGAGGAACTCTGCACTTCCAGCTTCAGTTCAGTTCTGCCATCAGCAGGAATAAACCATGTGTAGAGGGAAGGTGCCCTGTGTGTAATGTGTACCTCTGCCTCTGTCTCCTGTGTTTAAATTTGGTGTGTTACAATGAAGTATGGCCTCCTAATAACAACTGTCAGATAAAACGAGAGACACTTGCCACTTGAAATTTTTATAACTTCCTCCAGCCTGGCTTTTTACATTTGGCCTCAATGATGCTCCCTGTCACTTTAACAAAGCCCAAATGTAAATTACTTGCTGCCAGTTTCAAGCAGCCAAATTCTCCTGTCCTTACAGACATGAGACATTAGATTGTAACAAGGTGCAGATTAGGAAAAGTCAAAGGAATTATCTGGTAGAAGCAGGTACTGACAGATTAATGATAATAGAAGGTAATGAATGTTGATAATGAAATATGAATATCCATCTACTAGTTCTTCCCTTCTCGAGCTATGAGTATCATACATCAGCCATTTTATAAATAATAAAATGTAAGCTGTAAAAACATTAAATGAATCCTTTGCATTTAAAGCATTTTTATATTGCAAGGTCTGGGATATCAGTACCTGAGTGCTCAGGAAATCCAGAATTATGGGGCGACCAAATGTGGTCACATGGAGGTGAGAGCCTGCTGTGACCTCAAAGCCCTGTGCATGATTGCTGTGGTGTAAAGGGGAGAGCATTGCAGGGCTTGTTCCCTCCATGAGCTGGGGGTGGGACACAGGATTCTCCTGGGTGGGACACAGAATTCTCCTGGGTGGGACACAGGGTTCTCCTGGGTGGGACACAGGGTTCTCCTGGGTGGGACACAGGATTCTCCTGGGTGGGACGCAGGATTCTCCTGGGTGGACCACAGGATTCTCCTGGGTGGGACACAGGATTCTCCTGACCCCAGGTGCCAGCCAGCAGCAGGGATTTCCTGCCAGAAGGGTGGCACAGAACAGGGCTTGTTCACATGTCCCTTTTCAGCTCCTGACACACCAGCTAAGGAGATTATTGTCCTTAAGAGAGGGTTTTTCACCTCAGTGTCTGCCTGCTGAGCTGCCCACTCACAATTCCTGAGTGCTCTGGTCATGACTCACCATTAAACTGCTTAAGCTTGTCCTGCTTAGCTCGGGCACCTCAGCACCCCCAGCAGCTCCTCAGCTGCTCAGGAGCAGGAACAGTTATCCTGCAGTGGGCTGCAATCTGCTGAGATTTGGCTAAACCTTTCAGCTCTGGAGGGGTGAGGGATTGAGTGCTTTTACAGCTTCTTTACTCCTTGTAAAGTAGGAGGGGGAAAGGAATTAGATGCAGAGGGAGGGTTTATTTTATTTTCAGTGCCAGGCACAGTAAGGCATCCATGGCTTACCTGACATCAGGGCTGTCAGCAAAGGGTCCCTTTGGCCTCTGACAGCTCAAACTCAGCCTCATGTAATGCAAGTGTCCTCACTTTTTGCCAAGAAAGGCAAACCTTACAATAACTTTGAATGCCAGGTTGTTCAGATGAAACCTACAACAGCAGTTTGCACATCTGATGTTTCTCACTGGGCTGTCTGCAGCTGGGCTACAAATATAAATTATTTAAGTGTCTTCAGATTCTTCATTATCACTATTTTATATATCAATAAATTGTGACACAGGTATTACAGGTATGGTCAGGAAAATTACTTAGAGAATGGTATTTAATGTGTTCTCCCTGTATTGTCTTTATTTTCTGTGTCTAGTGGATTTCCCAGTGGCAGAGTGAGATTTTGGTCTAGCTCATACACCACAGGGAAAATATACTTTATATTCTGACTACAGGATTATCTCTTAAGCTAGTGATAATGCACAAGCTGGTAAAAAGGAAGCTTAACTTTCAAATCACATAGGAGAATTGCAAGATAAGCAGGTAGAAAGACACATTTTCATTTTATTCTATCTTTTTCAGCTGAGGGCTTTGCAAAATTGAAACTGAAATTCCCATTATGCTTTTACTTAATTATGCTAACTGGTGTTCAGAAAATGAGTGCACTGTACCTGGTTTGATCTGATTACTGCCTGGGAAAGTTTTACCCCCACTGTGCCTGGCTGTGATCATGGCTTTGGTCTCTCCAGCTTTCTTGACTATTGAGTGCCATGAGATGGGTTTCTCTTTTCCCTTCCCTTTCCTTCCTTATTCCTTTCTCAGTATTCCTCCCTAATGTTGTCCTATACCTGACAGCATCCCAGGAAGTTAGGACAAAAACAGTGGATTGGGCACATTCTCCTGTGTCTGACCATAATCAAAACTGGCTAAACCAAGGTGAATCCAGAAGCTACTTTGAGCCTTTGGCATCATGTTTCTGGAAAGTTCTTGATCAGAAGGCTTGACATGGCTGCAACACATTCAACACAGGGATGTTTGTAAAGAAAACAAAGCAAAATCCACAGCCAGACATGTTGCACAGTCATGCTCCAGGTCAGCTTGTACACCCTAATATATGAAGAATCAGTGTTGATTTTTGCATTGAATTCTCTGGACTTATATTGAACTCCCCAAGAATTTAATGTTTCTGCTAGTAAATGTTTTTGCTGTTTTCCCTCTGTACATCTTTGCCTGGGATTGGAGCTGTGCACATTCCACAGCTGCTTGCATTCATATGGGTTTTGCAGAGAGAGTGCAGTGGGGAAAAGTACTGCTTCATGTCTGAAGTGAAATACCAAAATAGAAATTAAAAAATAAAGATAAAATAAATAAAAGATCAATTTAGGAGAGTACTAGGTGCACCTTTGGAAGTAAGTTATTTAAAGTATACTGATACTAAATGATTGGTCTGTTGTTACACTGAGAAATTAATTGTGTGTACATTGTTACCAAATCCTCCCTCTCCCTTTCCATGGTGCTGACCTGGGTCTGGAAGGCCACTTCAGGAGAAACTCTGGTCCCACGTTTTGCCCTGGGTTCTCCTAACAGCTGTGTTTGCAAACCTGGTCTCTGTGAGGAGGGGTCTGACATGGGTCTGGCCAGCAGTGCTGGTAAGCTGTCAGTGATTAGGGTGTCTCTCAAAGAAAGAAATTGAATTTCTGTGGCTTGAAGAATTTTCATCTAAGCAATCAGAAGTATTTCTGAAATTATGACTTTGCAAATTTACTGTGAATTGGTTGGAAGCAATGAAGAGGAAGGAGAAGGGGGAAAGGACGAAGGTGACTTACAAGGCATTTGGAGGGGGCCTTTGGACAAAGGTCTGGAGTGACAGGACAAGGGGGAATGGTTTCACACTGACCAAGGGCAGGGTTAGATGGGAAGAAATTCTTCCCTGTGAGGGTGGGGAGGCCCTGGCACAGGGTGCCCAGAGAAGCTGTGGCTGCCCCATTCCTGAAAATGTCCAAGGCCAGGAGGGGCTTGGAGCAACCTGGGATAGTGGAAGGTGCCCCTGCCATGGCAGGGGCTGGAACTGGATGAGCTTTAAGATCCCTTCCAACCCAAATTCTGGGATTCAATAATGACCTAACTGTGCTTTTCCATGTCCATCACCTTGTTCCTGGAACTGAGGCTGCAGATGACCTCACTCAGTGAGAGGAATGAGCTGACACCACTGTACAAGAGGTAGATACTGGTCCTTATCTCTTGTGGCTTTCTTCTTCCTCTCCCCTTGTATTTATTTGTGAAGGGTTGCTGCAGGTTTTCTTTCAAGTCAGGTTGCTGCAGGTTTTCTTTCAAGTCACAAGTTACTCTCATCTGCTTCTTTTTGACTTTCTTTTTCCACATAATGTTTTCTCTTTAACATTTCATCCCCCTACACAGCATAGAGATGTAACTAGATACTGGAGGCTCCAGAGTATATTCGCTTCTTCCAGCTCTTCATCTCTATTCCATTTTGAGTTTGAATTTAAAACCTAAATTTTTAAGGCCATAACAGGCTTTTTGAGGTTTTCTCTTTGATTTGTATTTGCTTACATTCAGTTCAGTTTGATTGGGCCTGAATCATTTTACCCTCTGGCACCTCTTAGTTATCATCCATGAAATTAATTGGTTGGTCTTGGTGCTTGTGATTGCAGATGGGTGTTCCTATGGCAAAGCCTTCCCTGCAAGTGGGGTTTGTGTGTTGGGCACAGCTGTTGGCAGTAAATGATCAGCTGAATGCAGCGACTGTGAGGCCTGTGGGGCGCTCTGGTTAAAGTGTGCACATCTATGGTTCACTTAGGAGCAGCATTGTATTTTTTTGCCTGTGTGGGTCATGTGTGGTGATAGAGTCCAGTGTTCAATGCAATACCAAACAAATACATGGTTTTTTATAAAGCTGACTTCTGTGGATGCAGCCACGTTTGACTTTTGACATGTGGTCACATGAATTGAGAACATCAACTGTAAATGAAGGTGGAACAAAGAATCCTTTGACAAATATTTAGCAACTAGCTGAAAGATGGCTCTGACAAAGTCTTCCTGAAGCCACTAAGCTAAATTTGAATATAACCTTCCTATAAAAAGGAAAGTAATTCCTGGTTACTGGTTCTTTTAAAATAGCCAACTAAATTCACTCCTTTTGCTGTTATTTCCTTAGATTTTTTTCTTTACAATTTTCTTACAAAACATTATTGCAATAGTTTTTTACTTCTGTAGTTGCCAGTATGTTTTTGTGCAATTTATTAAGTGGGTTCTGTAATTTTGGTGACTTTGGCTAAAAAAATTGGATGCTCACTGCCTGACTGTGTAGGTAGTTCTGGGAGGTAGATGCCTGGATGTGAGCTGAAAATGTGAGTACATAACTCCTTCACTTGGGAATTATTTTGCTGCAGGAGTTTGTCAGTACAAGACAACTGTACATGTATTGATGCTGTGGCAAACCAGTGTTAGAGCAGTGAGAGCACAGCTCAAGCACAGCAATGCAAGAACTGCAGGGAAGGGTTGCCCAGCTACAGAATTAGCCTGTTTGTATTTTTTTTTCCTAGAGATAGCAGAAGAAAAAAATGTTGTTTACTAATTTCTGGCTGAAAATGTTATTGTAGCTTGTGCCAAAACGAAAGGATGCATGTTATGTTTTCCTCATACTAATGACATTATATACCAGCTATTTCTAAAAAATACTAGTCCTGTTAAATCAGAGATGCTGAACTTCATGGTTTATTTTAAGTGGGTGGGGGATGTTGGACTAGGGACAGGTATTTGCTTGGTAACTGCCTCCAAATGAAGTGCAGTCTTCTATATTCTGTTTTCACAACTCTGCTCTTAATTTCATGTTTAAGAGGGAAGAAGTTTTTTTGGGGGGAAAAAAAACCCCAAAACATGAATTGACTGTTTAGCATATTATTCCTCTGCCATTAATAGCTAAAATCAATAATCAGTGAGTAGGTTTTTTTGCTGGCAGTGATCTTCCTGTATGTTACAGTTCACATCCTCAGTTAGAGCTGCTGTTTGATCCATCACCCTTCCTCCTTCTGCACACCCATGACTTGCAGCTAGCAGTGGGATCATTTGCAGAAACAATTAAAACCTCTCTTTCCCTGGCAGTGGGGAGGAGTAGAGTGCATGTAGTGGCATCAGCTTGGCAGCAGCTCCTTTGCTGGTGCATGTCTTCTTCACTGCTTGCTGCCCTTGCAGCTGGCTTTTTGTCTTGTTGAATGTGAATATTTTTCCATTAAAATGAATAATAAATTCTGTGTTAAATGAGAATGACTCCAGGCTGTTGAGTTTGGAACTGAACTCTTGTTTAGAATTGTTTATAAATGTTTCAACACTCTGTGTTATCACAATCCATACACAGTGCAGACACACATGCATAAGTTGTACTTCAGACTGAATCTGGTTTTTAGCTGCAGTTGCTGATCAGGCAGAAGTGCCATTTAGAAACAGCACTCCCAGATGGCAAATTTGAAGCACCTGCACCTCAGAGCATGTCCTGCTTGGGCTGTCCCCTCTCCTCTGCAGTGGGACAAGGCTCCCAGCAGGCACACACTGTCCTCCCTGCCTTGTTCCAGCTTCTCCAGCTCTGATTCCACGTGCCTGCTCTGTCCCCCTGCAGCCCTGTCTGCTCTGGGCTCTGGTGCTTGCCTGCCTGTGGTGCCATGCCCAGGATGCCTCAGGGATTTAGGGATGCCTGCACCAGTGTCTGGCTGCTGCAGGCAGTTTTCTCCCCCCTCAGCAGCAGCTTTATTCCAAGAGTTTATTTTCCAAGCCCCTCCTCTCTCCCTTCCCTTGTTCCTGACTCTGATAATTCAGTCAGTTAATCTTTTACCAGTTGGAGTGCATGTTGTGTCAGAATTGATCAGTTTGCAGCCATGGCTCTGGCAAGGATGGAATTTCTGCTCATGGCCTATCTTGGGTGTCTGGAATAGCTCTATCACATGGCTTGGCATCCAGTGTGAAGTGTGGGAGATCCAAGTTGTAAATCCTTGCTTTGAGCTGGAGTAGGGCATGGGACATAGGTTTTTAGAGCCCTGTGAGTGTGTGCATAATTCCCTTTCTTCCTTTCACACAATGTGCATTTGTTTTCTGTAATTTAGATAAAGATGTATGTATTTTCAGTCCAATTAAGAAATCCCTCATTTTCCCTCTTGCCTAGGAAGATTAAAATACATTGCACTACAGAATTCTTAAACTCTTTGACCCCAAGTATTTGGGAGTACCTATAACAATATCAAAGTGTTATTCTGTGGAGGTGTAGCTGTTTAAGCAACCAAAGAAATCAGAGAGAGAGAGATGAAGAAAGGACACCCCATAGCACCCCATAAGAACCTCTGGAAAGCAGAAAGATTGTGAGTTCCTTTGAAAGGAACTTTGGAGGGTGAGTTGCAGGATGTGAATACAGCATTGGGAACGTTCCTGGATCTTTTCCACAATCCTTTTAATGTGGTCACAGACTCCTGACTGGGTGAAAATAAATTTGAATTAACTTCAGTGAGTGTTGAAAACATGGAGACTTTAAATTTGTTTGGAAAAAGCATCAGGGCATGCTATGATTTTTTTTTTTGTCTGTACTAATTAGTGATGACACAGCATCAAGATGGCAAAAAATGAATCATTTGGATGTTCATGAAACAAAGTATTTTGAATGTCACTAACATGTGGCTTTTGGGAATTCTTGAAGTAATAGAATAAGGATCCAAGGAGCATTTGATGAAACAGATTTATTTGAAGAGGACAGTTATTCTTAATCCAGTTTATTTTCTGATTAAAGTAACAACCAAACTACTCCTTTTGCTTCTTGAAGGCTCTCAGGTGTGTTAACAACACATAATGGTTTTTATTATCAAAATAATCAGGTTGAATGATCTTGGGGCTAAATTATGGAGCACTTTGGCATTCATGTAGGAAGTTAAATTTGATGTGAGTAGCAAGCACATATGTCTGGGAGGTGAGCTAAACCTGAGTGCTCAGGAGCAGACATCCAAAGGTTGTGTGTTTTATGTTAGAAAGTTGTAATCAGAGCATTTCTTTTTGAAGTCCATAGAAACCCAGTAAATTTTAGAACTTTTTCAAGGTTTAAACTCAAGAAGTTTTAAGACAGATTCTTGGCATGACCTAAAATGAAACAAAATTTTGCTTTTTTTGTATTTACCCAGTTGCACCTAAGTTTTTTGAATTCATTGATTCCATTTCAGCAAATTCTGGGCTTGTAAGATTGCAGTTTGATATCACAGAGTGTCAGAATTATGTTACAGAATCATTGAATCACAGGATGATTTGGGTTGGAAGGGACCTTGAATGTAATCCAGCATTACTCCTGGGAAAGCCTTCTTCCCTTTCATCATGGTCTGATACCTGTGGGTGGTGTGTGATTGTGTTTGTGGAAAAGTAGTTTTGAACTATGCAGGGTTAACATCAGCTGAAATCAAACTGAGCTTTGGAGATGGAAACAGGGAATAGAGCCTGGCCCAGGTGGTGTAACCAGCCTTTTCTGCACCATCATCTCCCTTCAGAAAACAGCAGTGGAAATCATTGTAAATGATCCATCTTGGTAGAAGAGTTTTTTAGGAGTTTGGGAATGGCTTTTCAGATCTACAAGCTTTGTTTGTGTGCTCACAGAGCTCTTTGTTTTCTTCCTATGCTTATAATTAACATATACTAAATTTTAAATCTTAAATTTTAAGCATTTTAAAATCAAAAATGGCTTATTTTAGAAAATTGAACATTTTTCAGGCAAATGTTTTTTGATAAAGTTGTTGACTTTGAAACTGCTCTGACACTGAGCAGCTGATGGGGAACAGAGACACCCCAGGTTATGGATCTGAAACTTGTGCCTCCATGAACACTTCATGGGGAACTTTGTTTATCTACAATCAGTCTGTGCTGGGGAAAGGCTCAGCTCTCCACACAGTAAATCAGAGAGAGGAGCTGACTGGATGATCAGAGCAATGAGTTTGAAAAAATTGTCATTTTAACCTAAATATCAGGATTTTAATTGCATTAAAATAAGGGCATGACCATGCCTGACCTCTAATATCTGCCTTTCTAAACATATTTTTATTAGAACTTGCCAGAATCGTGGGAGAAGGTTGGCTACTTCTTTGATCTTCCGGATTTCTTATCTTGGAAAGCCACAGGTGTCACTGCAAGGTATGTTAATTATAACAATGTGGTTTTGTCTATTTTCTTATGCACATTTCTGCTTTAATTCATTCTGACTGGACCTGCTGTTATGTACATCTGTCTGTAATTCAGCCAGCTCCAAAACATCTTGAACCTATCTCCTGCCCCCATTGTGCATTCCTGAGCACAGTTGTTCCTGGGAGCACTGGAATTCACAGATAGTGTGTTGCTGCAAAATGTCATTTTGGAGCATAAATATGATTGCTGGAGTTCCTGTGAAATACATGTCCAATAATTCTTTGAAATCTATTTTGTTGACAAATTTATTGACTTTTTTGAGAATTGGAAATGCACACTTCTGTGCCATGTGGGAGGGCTCTGTAGTGGTCACTTCACTGTAAAACATGACAGCTGTGCTGCTCCACAAAAGTACCCTAGAATTCTGACTGAGTAGTTGAACAAAACCTTCTGAGAGGAAACCCTTAAAAATCTGGATTGAAGTGACCAACACAGGTGAGAGGCATTTGCAGATCCTTGTGAGAAGTGAGAACCAGTATTATTTATTTAAAATCATGCCCCGTTCAGGGCAGCTTACAGTTATTTCCATTGCAGTTTGTGGAGTAGAATCTGTGCAAAATGTAGTCTCAAATGAAAAGTGGCCACAGGATAGTTTTAGTCTCTCTGGAAATCAAGATACTTTCTTATCAAATACAGTTCTTTTTAATTGAGTGCTCTATTTCTCCCTAGCTAGTTTTCCTGATTGACAGCTATTGTTAGAGCATTATACATTATATATTCCTTGCATTATACAGCAGGGAAGTGCTATGATTGACTTAAAAAATGCAAAAAGAGGAGTTGTGCAAGGACTTGCCAGATGATAATTGATAAATGGCATCTTAAATCTTCTTCCTTTGGACTTTAAGTCAGATTTTGCAGTCTAACTCTGAATTATGTAACAGAAGAACAACTCCCACCCCACAGATCTTGCAATCTAAACAGTCCTGTCACCTGACCCAACTCTACCTTCAAGAGGATAAATCCCTGGCTCCCAGATGATATTCCAGGGGCTGCTTCTTGTGAAAGTACTCAAGACTTTTAGAATTAGCACTCTTTGCTCAGGGCATGAGGAGGGGGAGGCTGTGAAAAGGGAGGGTGCAGTGATCCTGGCAGCTCCATGGTCCTGCCTGCCTTTGGCTTTGTGTCCTTGGCTGCAATTTCCTGCAGGTGAAGCAGAGAATCTCTTTGGAAAAAAAAAAACAAAAACAAAAAAAAAAAAGAGTTGTAGAGGACTGTACTCAAAATTTGAGGTGGCTGAATTTAGACTGGCAAGTTAATTTCCTTAGCAAGGACAATATGATTACTCAAAATCTTTTCATTGCATTGATGAATGCTGTAAGGGAGAAAGGAATGTTGAGAAGACTCTCTGGGTAAAGTCTTCCCTCACACTTTGGTTCAGTGTCTTCAATTTTGAGTAAAATAGCTCCTTGTAAATCCTTCATTGCTGTCTTTAATGTGCTCCCCTAAATCAAGCCCATTGTTTGGGCTCTAGTGGGTTTTCTTGTAGGGTAACAAAGAAGGAAGCAAAAGACAGGAAAATAAGGACAATAAACATTTAGCTGGAATCCAACCTTGTTTTTTTTTTCCTTTCTCGCTTTACCCCATGTACACCTGTTTTCTGAGAATTTTCTTGTAGGCTGGTGAAGTCACGTAATTTGTCCTGCATATGCTCATAATACAGGGGAAGTGTGAATTTATCATGTATGAGATTATTACCTCTTACCACCCTTTCTGCCTTTGAGCACAAAGGAGTCTATTCACAGGGCAAGACAGTGTTAGTCACTGTGAATCATACAGAACTTGGCCCTGATAAAAGAACAATTTATTTTTTTAAAATTTGTTTTGGTGATGGGGATTTTACCAAAATAAATGCAATTCTGAAGGCACTTTTATAGCAAAGACCTTGGTTCTTTAAATTTTTAAGGGGCTCTCTAAAACATTTTCTATGTATTTGACATTTAGAAATTATGTAAAGTCTCTTTGCCTTCAGTGAGGTCACTGTGCACAAAGTTAAGTGTGTGTGAGATCAGAGTTTGATGTATTTGAAAAGCAGTTCTTGACGTGTGTTTCTAAGTATGAAATCCTATGTCCTTCACCTTCCATTCTGCTGGCTTGAACTGCCTTGTTGCCAAGTTTTTTTTCCAGTAGACCTATAATAAAAAATAAGTGTTTCTTACCTCTGAGGTAGAGGCTCCAACATCTAGAATTTTTTACCTTCTGGCTTTAAAATTGCTCTGTATCTCACTGAACAACATCCACTCATCAGTTGCAAAGGACGAGTTCCAAATTTTTGATTCCTATTGTTCTTGGAAAGCTGTTGCCTGTAACGCTCCATATTTAATGTAGTTATCTTTTATTGTTTCTGCTTTGGGCTGATGAACAGCCATTGACTTGTCCTGAATGATCCAGGCAGCTGACTATTCTGCATTAAAAGAAATGTTATTTAAAAATTTTTTGCTTAAAAATTTTAAATTTTAAATGCTAATTTAAACAATGAAATTAACATTATTTTAAATGTTAATTAAAAAAATTTAAACCTAGAACTTCTCAGCTTTGCCCCCCAAGGCTGCAACAATGAGAATTGGTTTTGCCACTTGAATACTCAGTTGTCTTCTCTAGAAGTGCTGTGGTGGAGAGGAAGAGCTGTGACAGAATCTCAGCAGTGCTTTTTGGAGGCTCAGCACTCCTGCTCGTGCTGAGTGTGACTCACTACTCTCCCTCCCCCAGGCAGGACCTCTGGTAACCTTTCCTTTATAAGGTACTTTGGGCACAGCTATCTTCATAAAATCTCAACTCCTCTCTGGTTTAGTTACAGGCTACTGTGTTATGGATGGGGAGTTCTTACCAGAGATGCACATCTGCCACCCTGGTGTGTTCCTGGAGTCTTGTGAGGGATTACATTGCAGATAAGAATAGGGCTGAGCTGTTAAACTGGGTGGAATCCACACACAAATTTCTCAAAGGTCATGTGTGTTTAGACCCAGAGTTCTGCTTCAGGGCCATTTCCAATCATAGGCAGCTCACTCACTGCAAAATGAGCTAGTGTGTACTGGAATTTAAGATGAATTCTGACAAAAGAGAGATTAGACCTGTGAAGGAGGATGTGGAAATGTAGGGAATAATGTCAGGCTGACATTATTGAGATAGAGGGTGTCCAGCATTGTGCTGGAGGAGCCACCTCCCAAAATGACCAAAAAACGTTGGAACAAGTAGAATTTATGCAGATTATTTATTGTACTCTAGCTATGTAGGGAAAATAATATGCTATTTAGTAGAGACTTCATCTCATCTACGAATTTGACCCAAATAATTTTCTTGTGAAAATACTTGTCCAATCAGTCTTCAGCTGCTTGCCATCATGACATGGAAAGGGTGGAACAGATGTTTCATATACTTCACTTTTCTAAAAGATCTCCTTCTAAAAGATCTCAGGATCATGACTTTCTCAGTTTTATAAGGAAGAAATTCATACTGTTTATGGTAGTGATGGATTGCAAAGTGAAAAGCAAATGCTAGTAGTTGATAAAAAGCATTTCTGGGAAGCACATGACTAATATTTGTATCTCTGTGAGAGAAGGGGATCTCTCTTTAGTTCACAGTCTATTTTCAACAGGAAGATACTTGACAAATTGTTTTCTTTCATTTATGAGTTCCTTGGCTTGTGCATGTTTAAGTAGTTGGCTCTTTATGTTAAGCTGTGATTGAGTCCTTAAAGTTTATTTGTAACCTGTTTTGAGTAATGGATAATTAGGGTTGGAGATGGCTCCATGGCACTGATTGACTTCCAGAGAACTCCCTGGACATCAGAGTTGATGCAGAGTCCACTGGGATAAACAGGAGTAGACTCTGGTCCCTTGTTGAATTGTAGTAAGGGAAGCTTGTAATAAAACAATAAAGCTAGGGGGGTGCTGTAGAATCCAGGAATCTGGATTCAGATCTCTGCTCTGGGATTTGGACAAGTGAATTAAAATCTGTGTCTTTGGAGATGTTCAGGGAGCTGAATCCATGTGAGGATTTGATATTTGTTCTTCATCTGTTAGACTGGTGCACCCACACATTCTTGGGAGGTTGCTTACTTTTTACCACTGTGAGGTCTCCTGTGGCTGTGTCAGTGCAGCCCTCACCAAATATTTTATCCAGAATAGGCTGGAAACTTCGAGGAGGGAGAGTGCTTTTAGAAGAGGAGCTTTAGAGGCGCTGTTGAAAAAACAAACCAGTACGAGTTAAACCATTATCTGAAGGATGTCTGTGTCCTTTTCAAGGATTGGGCAATCCTTGCAGAGAGATGTGGTAACTGCAGCAGCACAGACACCACGGTTTGGGGCCAGCTGCCCTTCCCTTCCTTCCTAGCCCTGCCATGACTAATGGATGCCCTTTGGCTGGGATCTGGCGCTTGGATTCTTGTTGATATTTTGTGCCTGCTTCAAAAGATGCCCGGTCTAAAAATCAGGCCTTGTCTCTGGCAAGAAGGGGCCTAGGGAATATTTCAGAAAGCTGTTGTGATTAGTGCTGAGCCCATGGGGCAGTGACAGTGTCCTGAATTACACTCTGGTGTTGTGTCCTGTTTATGAAATGAAACCCAAGAGTTCAGACATGCAGACTTGTTTAGAGAAGTCTCTGGAGGAGAAAGAATTATCTTGAAAGGCTGCTTGGGAGGGGAGGGATGGTGTTTTTGTGGGTTGGACAAAGTACCATGAATTTCTTGTCCTGGAGCCAAAAGCAAGTGTCCCTGTGATGGTATGTTTGCCAAATGAGAGAATTCTACTGCTATCAGGCTTTTAATAAATTCAAAACATGTTCTTTGGAGACTGGTGACACACAGACTGATCCAGAAAATAGGAAATGTGTAGCTGGAAAAGTTTTCAGGACTGTGAAGGGCAGGTGCAATGTGGGCTATTACTGTTAGATATTTTTTTTTAAATTTAAAAATGATACGTCCTTGAGTCTACCAAGTAATCTGAAAGAATTCT